GGATTGAATAAATGATAACCAATCAATTGCAAATATCTCTCTTGAAGATACTTTTCAATAAGAAAGATATAGTTATCCTACCAGTGATCAAGTAACAATAATTATTTGATAAAGTTTCTAGGTGCGGAAACTTTGAGATTTTCTGAAGTTGGTGTAGGTGTCGAGCTTAGAAACAACAACTCTCAATTTCAGACTCAGTTGTCGGGCCTTGAAGCAGAGATCAACCTGTTGCGTCGTCGTATTGCCAATCTTGAGGAGGAAATTGCTCGTATCAAGAAGGAGAACATCAAGTTTGTTAACGAACTAACCAAAGCACGCTCAGTAAGCACTTCGAATGATGTTGATTTCCTATTGAATACTCATACGCATTCTTAGAAACATTCACTAGTAAATGAAATTTAACCAAAATGCCATCGTATGGCTCAGTACGGTTCATTATTTGATTACCAGACGATATTCTGTAGGGATTTATGAATTTATCATTTTGAATCCATTTTCGATTTTTTGCAGGACCTGGATCAAGAAACACTGAACCGTATTGACTTCCAAAATCAAGTTCAAACGCTTCTCGAAGAGATCGACTTCATGCGTCGTGTGCATGACCAAGAGATCGTTGAACTGCAAGCGATGGCATCCCGCGATACCACTCCTGAGAATCGTGAATTCTTCAAGAACGAACTTGCTTCGGCTATCCGCGACATCCGCGCAGAATATGACCAGGTATTCAATACTTGGAATAAATACAATCGCCATATGATGCAATGGAAAGATTCTTGAGATATTCTACCCTAACCAACTGTGTGTTCCAGATTTGCAACGTCAATCGTACCGATATGGAATCGTGGTACAAACTCAAGGTTCAAGAAATTCAAACGCAATCGAACCGTCAGAATCTGGAACAGAATTACGCCAAGGAAGAGGTGAAACGCCTCAGAGTACAGTTGACTGAACTGCGCGGAAAATTGGCCGATTTAGAAGGACGTAATTCGTTGTTGGAGAAACAAACACAAGAGTTGAACTACCAATTGGAGGATGATCAACGTTCATATGAAGCTGCATTGAATGATCGTGATGCACAGATTCGTAAAATGCGAGAAGAATGTCAAGCGCTTATGCTTGAATTGCAAATGCTTCTCGACACCAAACAGGTTCAAATTACTTCGATTGAACGAAAAGAAACCCCAATGAAACCCTCATTTTAGTGAGAATCTAAGAATGAGCACCTCAAAATTTCACGTTACCAGCAGAGTCCTCTTGTGAGGTTCACAGCCCAATGTTGCTCGCTCTTCAGACATTGGATGCCGAAATAGCCATCTACAGAAAGATGTTAGAAGGTGAAGAAAATCGTGCTGGACTTCGTCAACTCGTAGAACAGGTCGTCAAGACTCATGGCCTTACACAAGTGGCTGAGACTGGTTGGTT